CTTGGTCTAGACAAAACGACAAATTTTAGTCCCGCCAAGAAAACCAGCTATACGGGTTATCATTATTGAGAAATTTCTTTAAAAAATCTCGATTTCGGATCAGATGAATTGCAAAAACTTGTATTAAAACAATGATAATCACGTGATCATTACCGGCCGCTAGGAGGCGGTCAGTTACTTGATATGAAAGTTTGAAGTCGTCGTGCGTTTCTGCGGAGTAAGAATAATTTGATAATACTATTTAACATTTATATTTTAGAATATTAAACAAAGATAGTTTAAATGTTGAACAAAGAGCACAATAATTATAAAATTAAAAGTTTATAAATAATGGAGGGTAAATGTTTCATCCAATTCTGATTGACAAACTCTGACATGACTGAAGTGCGGTGAATTATATGTAGGCATGGTCTAAAACAAAGACCGCGTTGTATATCACAATTTTACTTTCACTTTTTAAACAGCCTAAATAGGATTTGTTGTATTTATTTTGAAATGACGTGTATATTTATACATTTCTTATGGAAAATTTTCAAGAATTTGATGAAATATTGATTTCTTAAAAGCACAGAATCTTATACAATATTGTGGTCCAGGAAACTAAGATAACGCGCGTTTTACAATGTGCCAAGCATTTTTCCGCCACATCTCAGCACAAAACAAAGACTTGCAAGAGAAGAAATGTAGTGGTGGATCTAGAGGGAGTTGGATGGGTAACATCCATTAAGAGAGAGCGAGGAGCCCCACATGTTTTATATTTTTTGCGTTTTTATTAAAGTAAAAATATAGCTATGTTTAAACTTTAGTTTTGTACTTTTATTAAACATCAAACTTCTACCAGAGTTCGTTTACAAGTACCAAACTGAGTGCAGATATATACGCAGAGGTCTATGGACAGTTTGCTTATACATATATTGTACATGCATTATGCATGAAGAAAATCGGCAATGTCACATGCTAGTGTTGCATGTCACGAGGATATTTTAATAGATAAATGTAAGAAATTTTAAAAACAGATCATGCAAATTTCAGTTTCTTATTACTTTATTAAAGGAACAATTAATTAATTGGGTTGGCTGCCGATTTTTGACGCTTGCGTCAGTGTATGTTTCTTGTAAATAATTATTTAAAATAGTTTAACTTTCAATTCAGACTTTTAATTATCATAAAATAATTTAACATGACTAAATTAAAAAAAACTTCTGTATAAAAGTCTTACTGTAACCAATTCATGAATTATGTATTTCTTTACCAATCCAGTACGTGTCCTCCGGGTTCCCAAAGCCTGTTTTGTACTCCGCCCATGTTTTGTAGAAACTCACTGATCCACTCCTGCGTTTCTGAATTGCCTATAAAAAATCAAAATGTGACTGTTCGGCAGGAGATACCCACTCCTCCATGGCACCTGATACTCTTATTTCTTGGAGATCTGTGTTTGCTCTGCTCCTAAATTGTATCATTCAATTGACTCTTGAGCTTTAACATTCTATATCTCCATATATGTCATCCATATTGTTTAGAGTAATTATATAATTTTCTAATTGCAGTTAAGTAATGCTCTCATGCCAAATAAATTTTTACTGCTATTCATTGAGGAAGAAGATAAGGAAAGAATGAGTGCACTTAAGCTATGAGAGTTGGATCCCGATGTTTTGCGCAAAATAAAATTCCAAAATTCATTAAATTTATGTTTTATAGGTATTAAACAATGTCTTAAGAGCAGGTTTTGGTATACTATATTACATGAAAGTATTAGATAATGCCGAACGACACTAGCTTTTGAGACGGGGGTCTAACAGTTTTGTCTCATTTCTATTGTTATTCATATGCATACCAGTTTTCAACGACTTTGTTTACATCGAGCCGCAACTTGGCCATTTTTCTTATTTGCACAGAATATGTATTTTAACTTAAACTTATACATATCCAAAGGACAATGTTGGCCAAGTTGCGGCTCATATCTAATTTTCAAAAAGATGTCCCCAAACTAGGGTCGAGATAGCTACTAAATAACCGGTCACTGAGCAACAACGATTGATATTATAATCACCTTTTTCACGGGACCTTCTGCTGTTCGATACGCTTTCATTGAAAATTTCATTGTGTTTAAGTCTCTGTTGTGACATTATCTATCGTACTTCCAACTTCAAACTATGGGAGATGTTTGCGCAAATTTTAATAGGGTTTGAAAATAATATGTCTCTTATTTATCTTTATGCTTTTCATTAGGGGTGTTTTGAAAGAATTCTGGTACTGACGGTATCATTAGTAAGTACATGTATAGGCTTATGTCGCCTCTGTATTATGATCTGCACAGCGAGACATTTACCCCATCCCTTAACATTAGAATCATTTAATAATTGTGCACCATGAAATCAACACGATCTCTCTCTCCTCTCCATTTCAATTCGCAATGCGAAAAAATCATATGTGCCAATGTTTACATTCCACAACCATGCGGTTTAAATGTCTCCGCCTATTTGCGGATATCTTAGATTCGAAAGTGGTCCCGTTCAAATTTCCGGAATTTAAGGCTTTTACATATTCTTTTCAATTACATTTTCTGTAATCATAGAAATATGTATGACAAGAAATTCTAGAAATAAATATCAAGAGCATATGCTTGCACATTAATCATAGATTAATTTAGCTATAAATTGTAATGTTAAGCTTAAAATGGGTAGCCGAAAAGGTTCCAAATGACGTACTTAAGTGCACTCATTCTTTAATGTGTAGAAGGACACGAAGACGATACGTGAGGCGAGAAGAAGAGAGAGAAAAAGAAGAGTTCTTACTGTCCATCCCCCTCCTATAACATCCATGTCACGGAATACTTTGATCTGAGTCTCGTTACGGAACGGATTTATACCATACACTCCAGATCGTGTATATCCATTTATAAAGAGGTCCTTGCAGTCTACATTTACTTTCAAACCTGCATCACAATAATAATTACCTGCATAAGTATCTCGATATGATCAAAAGCAAATGTAAATCAAATGTTATAAGGACAATCTCACTAAACATGAAAGGGAAGCCTTTGTCTTATTACAAAAGTAATTTTGGGATTGTAATCAAAAAGGCAGACAAAAGCAACACAGTTGTTGTAATGGACAGAGATCAATACATCTCAGAAGGCATGAGACAACTCGATTCTGCCTATTTTAGGCTTTTCAACTAATTTTTAAGTTGCACGAATAGTAAAAAAAACATAATATTATCAAGAGATAATTACTTATGTAAACTTATAATTAAACCATTAGAAACTTTAATTTTTTTTATAATTGACGTGTATTATGTTGTGTTTAAGGATAGGTTACTCAAGTGTTTAAACAAGATGTGTTTGTGCGACATGCGGCAACTAAATTCGAAAACGCTATTTTTAGCATTATATTTCAGTCATGGTCACAAGGTCATTGACCTTGGTGCATGTCATTTGAAAGAACTTAAGTTAGTGGAGAAAGCTTACGAAATACGAAGTTTCTTTGTCCTGTTTCAGAAGTTATGATGAAAGTTCAAAGAAGCTATTTTTAGCACTTAGATAACACTGAAGGCGACAAGGTCATTGATCTTGGTGTCATTTGAAAGAGCTTATTAGTGAAGTATGCATATGAAATATGAAACCTGTCTTTCATGTTTCGTTCTTTCATGGTTCAAAGTATAAAGTTGACAACAGACAAACAGATTCACTGACAGGACAAAAACAATATACGCCCCGGATCTTCCGAATAATAATGACCAACAAAGTGCCGATTTATTTTTTATTGAATATAGGAATGGCATAAAGGCTGCTTCAGCATGTGTATTGTTATGTACATAAAAGGATAACCCTATCCTTACCTTGTTTTTTTTTTTTTTTTTTTTTTTTTTTTTTACAAAAGAAGGAGTATATCTTCACTCTTCCTGCATTAACTAGGTCAAGTGAATGGGGAACAGACTATATTCTTGATTTTAAATTCTCTTTAATGGTTGTTACGAAGAAGAAAATATAAACTCGTGTTTTTGTGTGCACTGTTGTGCTACCTATATAAAATTACTAGCTGAAATCCCGCACAAGCGCGGGAAAAATTCTTTTAATTGCCAACAGAACTATTTTTCAAATTCTACTGACAATTAATTACACAGGAATAAAGCATGACAAAATACTTCAAAGTCCCGCAATTATAGTCTAAGAACAGAGGAATACACTCCCTCAACTTTTTTTTAATTCTACAAATATCAATATCATTAAATGCCTCTTCTTCTTACATGCAATTTTATTCTGTTGAACTATGTTATACATGATGTACTACGGGTGCTCATTGACATTTTCATCACACATGTTAGAAACTTTTTATATATATTTTGAGCTATATTATTGCTAATTACACTTCAAAGGATCTGTTTCCATTTACACCAAGGATAAGAGAATGAATGTGCACTTTTAACTGTAAATTTGTGAGAAAAAAGTAATATATTCAAAAATCGATTTGTATACCATTTTATATGTCTAAGCAAATAACCATAGCCATTAATCGACATCTATTTATAAAAAAAATATCAGAACTTACTAACATATATTCTCCAACTCATTGTGTTACCAATTGCTTTATATCTATTTCAATGCCCATTCATGATAAATTATCGCCTCGATTTTCTTTTTGCCATCGGGTTCGATGCCAGCTGACTTTGTAGACCTTTCAACAAAGACTTTTAATCGGACCTTAACGGAAAGCATATGCACGTTTTATTTTTTTTTTAAATAAGTGACCAGAACTTAATTCTTTTATATCACTTAAATCAAGTTTTGATTGAATAATTTATTTATGACATTTTATGAAATAAATCAGCACTTGCTTGTTAAAAGTAGACTTTTATTTAATTTTACGATAACTACTATGCGAGTGAAATCTGAATATAGTTTATGGACATCACCTAATACCAAGTGTATTCCTACAGGCTAAAGTAAGAACTCTTGTGCAGCCGTTTCGGACTTTATTTGCAAAATTTGTTTATATTATGTATAGGTATACATACGCCTATATTTCTGCAAGTAAATGCAACAATCAATTGTCGTATTTGTGTTACTAAGCAATAAGAAGAACGATTGAGTTTAAAAATTAATCAAGTTAGAATTCAGAAAGGGATAGATTTCACTTTAAATTTTTATTTTTACTTATAAGAAAATTTAATAGTGTCCACAAGCGGTAGAGAAGTTTACATCGTAACAAGAGTGCTAAGATTTGAACATTTAGAAAACGCTATAAACTGACTTGCGCGTAAAAACTTAAATACCTCGGACCTGAACTAAACAAGTTTGAGCGATGAGTATCGTTCATACATGTAACATCGAACCCTAGCCGCAGTTAAAAGGCCTACTATTATGCCGAAGTAGAAAACCCTAATTTAGAAGCCCTTCATCAGAACACCCAGTCTTAAGTTTTTGAGATGTATCAAAACAAAAACTTTTTGACTTTGTTGACCTGTTGGTCAGTAGGAGTACCAGAAGACATGCGACCTCTACCTCAAGTAAGTAGAAATTCTTAAGTAGAAATTTGCCTTTTGTGATTAATTATCTTTATCCCTGTACTTGGAAAATTAAAAGAAGGAAAAAAATGTACTATATGACGAAAAAGCATATTTTGGGGTTCGGATTTCGTTCTGAAATCCAGTTTTTTCATACACTACAACCACAACTGGAAGTTCTTTAATCCCATCTTTAACTGCCGTAAGATAGCTTTTGAGGAATAAGTAGTGGTTTACAATCAAGGGGCTTGATCGAAGACCTCAGAAGCAATGAAATCAATGATGAGCTCCGCCACGGCTTGCTACGCCCGTCAAATAATTTCAGATATCAACAGTTTACAGTGCAAGGAAATCATGTCAATCTTGATTCAAAGATTTCTCTGAAACGGATGACGTACACAAAAAGACGTTATTATTCTTGCGCGTAAATAGTCCATTTTTATTTTGCTTTGTTTTATCGATTAATATCATACAATTGATCTCTTAAGATTTATTTTGCTTTATTTTGCTAGTTATAAGGGGGTATATAATAAATTTATCATTGTTACATAAATTGTCTCATTTGGTCTGATTATCCGCGCCTGTCAACTCGAAGTGATACGACCCTTAAGAACAAGTTACTGTTATAATAAGAGAAGTATTTCATAATGTAATATCGTTAAAAGTAGGGTTGGGCAAAAACGGTTGTCACATAATGGGCACTCGCTCAATCTTTAAGAAATGCATTTATAAGGTTCTTAAATTTCTTTTGGAAAAAGTATGTTTAAAAATACATACTGTTTAAACTTAGATTGCTCAGCAAGTCCCTAATTTCCATGTTTTCCCGTCGTAGTTGATTTATATCATATTGGAGCTGGCTTACTAACGTGAGGTTGCTCATTAATTCTCGGATTTCTATGTTATATTGCCGTTGCTGATCTATTTCACGTTGGAGCTCTCCTTGCTTAATGAGAACGGTTTGAAGTCCACTCAGTATGTTTTCACTATTGCTGCAATCATTCCTTTCATTTAAATAAATCTCCTGGGAACTGGAGCATAACAATCTAAGTATTAACAAAATTATCCACATCAACGCCATGGCTGTCCTTTCTCCTCGTGGATACAAATGTATCTCTTATTTATATCCTCACGCTTATAACCTGCAAAACAGGAAGTTTTTTTTTGTTCATATTGTTTTGATGTTAGGTTTTCTTCTAGTTGAACAGACGTCCTTACACTATGTATGGGCCTTTTTCGAGTTTTGTTACAAGTCCGTAGGAAGCAATATTAGTTTTGGGTTGGAGACACAGCCATATATTTTTCGTTGGGGGCACGTACTATCAACTACGATATATTCCTTGAAAAGCGAAAATAAAGGTAACAAGCCAAAAAAGGTCATCGGACGTTTTGATTGAGGGGGCAAAAGCATAAAGTTTCTGTGTTTTCTACAGTATACTAAATATCCTCACAACTATGGGGGTAGAGGGAGGGGTCTCATCCTCCGGATCCTCGGCCAAATGTTAAATGAAATAAGCAAAAGCAGGTATAGGACAGTAAGAGAGACGTTGAGATCAGTAAAATATAAGTTCATCAAGTAAAACCTCTTAAAACGACTTTAGAAAAAAAAACAGCTATTGAACAGATAGGGTGCCTTTATAGATAATATTTTCAGACGCTTTACTCTAATTGTTTATTTAAGAAAAAACGATACACCAGCTTTAATCATCCTTAACGAAATCCCCCAATTCCCCAAAACCTTTAAAGTTTATTTTCATCCTCTGGCAATGTTTTTTTCTTTGTTATATTTATTCGATAATCCTTTCAGTTGGTTTTAAACCCATCATGGCCACACATCATTGATAGTGATACAGGTTACTTCCTGTTTGATAACTTGCCTGTCGATTTATGTTGTTTGAGTGTAACGTACCTTTATGAAGATTGATTGCGGAAAGTTATATTAAGAGGGAGAATAGAAATTAAAAGAGCATACTAATCTGAAAAGTTATGACAGTTGTCATGAGTATGTTTAAAGAGAAGCGCATGCTCTGGAAGTGAAACCTTACTCTTAGTGGTCAGCAGTGGTATACTTTTGTAATTGATAATAACTGATTGTGAAATGCACGTTTGCATTGATACTT